TTCTTCTTCTTCTTCTTCTTCTTTGTTTTTTTGTTTTGTTGTTATTGTTGTTATTGTTGTTACCAGGGTTCAAACTCAAGACTTTGCACTTGCAAGGCAGGCACAACACCACCGAGCTAAATCCCCATCCCCAGAATTCAGTGTTTTTGAAATTTAAGGTAATGATCCATTTGTGGAATAATGGAATCAGTTATTAATGGATCATTACTAGCATTTGAAAAATCTCAAGTGGAAACAGAACTGTGTAGGTTCAGGGAGGTTACGACTTCTTCAATCCCAGATCCACACCCAGGTCTGTCTTGGTCCCACACGGGACAGTCTGTAGATACCATAGTAAACAGTGAAACCAAGCATAATTTGGATTCATTCCAGAGGGAGTGGGGTCTACTTTTTCTTCTCCAAAGCCCAAGCCTGGGAATATGATGACTATAGTGTATTTATTACAGGAAAATGCTTTGGTGGTCCTTTGGAGTTTATTATAAGGTAAATAGCTCAATTCACATAGTTCCTGAAGATAAAGGTCAGTGAAGTCAACCATGTTTTTATTTTTGTTTTAATTAATTAATGTGCCTTACTTGAGTGTAGAGGAAGAAGGAGAGGGTAAGGAAAATTGTCTTTAGCATAATATATTTGCTGTGACATTATTTTCCAGACAGATGTTGCCAAAACCTGCTTCACAGACCTTACAGTTGAGATGGGGGCAACCCTACAGGCTTAGAAAGCTGTGGAATTACTTTTTTTTTTGATAGTTCCTGTACTTTTTGGAAATGAATCATCTGTCAATGAAATTCTTTCAGTGCTTTTTTTTTAAAAAAAAAAGAATCATTAAATTTTTCCTCTGACATACTCTTCTAATTTATTTTAGATAGGCTCTTTAAATGTTCTTTTACCAGTACAGGTTATTTAGTTTTTGTATATAATTGCTGTGTTTCATTGTCCTCATCACATAGATAATTAAGTACTACAAACTTTATCTGAGATTTTTTCAATTTATTCAGCAGTGAGTGAAAGTAAAGACTTACCCGATACAGTTAGAACAGTATTAAAACAAGAAATGAATCGTCTTTTTGGAGCAACAAATCCAAAGAATTTTAATGAAACTTTTCTGAAAAGGAATTCTGACTCATTGCCACATCGATTATCAGGTAATCACTTTATTTTTGTCTGTTAGCCTACTCTACTACAGTCATTAGTGGGTCCATGACAAAGTATGTTGTATGTTTAGTTCAGAAGAGGTACTATGCGTATGTTTCGTCTCAATCTTACGAAAATAAACAGTTTAAAATGTTTCCTATATATTTTTAAATTTCTTTAGAAAAAGTTGTTACTGTAAGACCAGTCCTTTCTACTCATTCAGCATTGGCATTACAAAGGAGTAAGTGTACCTGAATGAAAATATAAATGAACAAAGGAAATGGAGCTTGCTCTTTCATTCTTCTCCCTCTCCTTGTTCTTGTAAAATTCACTCCAGTGTCCATTGTCTTCCATCTCATGGTTGCATAGGTATCACTCTTGCCAGTGCTAAGGACCTGAAACCATCTCGCAGTTCACTAAAAATCTAAGGCAAGGCTCTATGCCCAAGGGCTAGAGTCTTTACTTTGGGACCATGTGTGTGGTGCTTTAATAATGTGCTTGTGAACACTTGGGTAAGACCCTGGTAGCTTTGTTTGCCTTTCTGGAAGCCTGTATTCAGTTTTTTGTCTCATACCATCAAGGTTGTATACCTCTGTCCTCATCTCCCTCTTCCTCATCTCCCTCTTCCCACTTGGCATTTGCCAAAGTATTTCCCTTACCACCAAATTATTATGTTTAGTTTAGAAAGAAGACTCTCCATGGTCTCACTACTAAAAGACAAGTATTGGGCTGGGGGTTTAGCTCAGTGGTTCCACCACCCACCTCACAAGCACAAGGTCTTGAGTTCAGTCCCCGGTACCAAAAAAAAAAGGACAAGTATTACTAGACTATCTGCTCTCATCTCTTAGATGGTGCACATTTTACTAATGCACATTTTAATAATATATTTTGTTACCAGTAGATACCCATAATAATTCCCTTAATCTCTTCTACTTTGGACAGTCCATTTCTCAGTGTTTTGTTTACATGTATTTATTTTTTAGATAACAGTGCCTTCAGTGGCTCCTCCTATTTTTCTGGTAAAGTGCAACATTTTGTGTGCACATGCCTTGTGTTTTATAGTTGAATGAGTAAAGGATAAGATACTGGGTTTACTTAAAATAAAACCAATTTCCTTTTTTCCTCTTATTTAGCTGCCAAAATGGTATATTATTTAGATCCTTCTAGTCAGAAGCGAGGTATAGAGTTGGCAACAACACTTGATGAGTCTCTCACTAACAGAAACCTCCAGGTAAAAGTTTTAACAGTCTCTCTGTATGAAACCTATGTTTTCTCTTTTCACCACAAGGAATAGTTTTTCTTTGTATTTTCCATATCAGAAGAATCTGTGTCTTGAATTTATTTAGGACTGTTTGCATATGCACAAAGTAGGGGACACAGGCACACGGGCTAAACTATGTAGTTATTTTTCGATTTTAAATTCATATCTTTGCATTTCTGAGCAATCACTTGTCTCAGTGAAGAATCTTGACATATTTAAAATGTATTTTAAAAGTAAATAAATAAAATGTGTTTAGCAGAGACCAAGTAAAATATATATGACTGTGTGGCAATGTCGATTCTAGTTTGAAAATGAACAGTTACATCATTGTTATAGTACTGTACTTGCTGAAAGATCATTCAATACATTCATTTAATAGCAAATGAAGACAATAACTTTAAGAAAGTAACATTAGACCAGTTGGTTGATCATTTTTGTACCATTTAGATTAGAAACTGTATTTAAGGTCTTCCGTAGGCTGGCATTTTAGAAGGCGTTATGTATCTAAAAACTAGATAATGCTTTTCTAACTGAAAGGATTTAAGAAAGAATATGAAAAATACAAGTCAACATGAATAATTTACTTTTTTAAAAAATGGTTCTATTGTTTGAACCCAGGGCTAAACAAAGAGCCTACCACTAAGCACATCTCAGCCCATTTTGTTCTTGCATGTAATCACTCTGTTTGAGACAGTTCGCTACTTAGTTATTGGATATTCCTTAAGATACTCCATAATTTTATTACAGAGCTTAAAAAACAGTGTTTGATTTTGCTGGATGACTCTAAACTTCCAAAACTTACAAGACCTACATGTGGTGATTGGCATCATAAAGTTTGACATTTGCATACAGGACCAGGCTGGGCTGAGGTACATTGCTCCTCATGGAGCAGGAATGAGTGTTTTTGTTTTCCTGAATATGTCCATTTCTATCTTAAATTGGAAATCTGTTGGTGTTGAGATCCACAGTAAAAGCTTTTCTCAAGTTTTTTGGTACCGGGGATTGAACTCGGGTCCTTGGGCCTGCAATCTCAAGTTTTAACATGCTGTTTTTTTCTTTCTTTAGACTTGTATGGAGGTATTAGAAGCCTTGTGTGATGGTAGCCTAGGAGACTGTAAAGAAGCTGCTGAAGCTTATAGAGCAAATTGTCATAAGCTTTTCCCTTATGCTTTGGCTTTCATGCCTCCTGGATATGAAGAGGATATGAAGATCACAGTTAATGGAGATAGTTCTGCAGAAACAGAAGAACTGGCCAATGAAATTTGAACATCATTAAACAAGCAAACGGAATGACTTTGGACCATACCTAGTGTATAATATTTTTGTCACGCACCTGCTGCATTGCTCTAACTTACACAGAATGAGAGGAGTAAATGTTCTTGCCTTCAAATAGTGTTTTATGTTTTTTTATCCTGCTGAAAAGTATATATAAAATATCTAACATTACAGGATATAGGTTCAGTTTCTTCAAAAATTAAAAGCTGCTAAAATTTAGGGGTTAAAAAAGATACCTTGTCCTATTCCTACCTACCCACCCATGTTTTTAAACTAATTTATATAGAATCTGGAGGCTGTTACAGCTAACAAAGCAGGTGTGTGGCAGAAATATTACCTTAAATTTGTCTTGTGAGATTTTACTATATCTCAGACAGCATACATGCTGTTTTAGCACTGGATTCTTTCACTGAGCACAAAGAGTTGTTGGGGCTTTAGCATCTGACTGATTTTGTTACGGGGTTGATTCTGACCATAGGAAGTATGCAATGTGAATCACTATTTACAGAGAAATCTACAACAGATGCTTGATGTTGTAGAAACCGGGACATATAGATACCAAGCAGGATTATAAGAAACCTAGAAGGTGTTCAGTACGCTTGTTGTGTTGTACATGATCAGTTCGGTGTTCTTGTACCACAGTTTTTAACTGAAGGAACCAGTTGGAACAATCTCAATTTTAACTAAAACTTGAAGAACTAAAATAACAATGCAAACTTTTCAGCATTGTTTTGGCCAAACTTGTTAAAACTGTAATGCAAGAACCAAATGCACTGTGATGTGGCACCAACTAATTAGCAAGCATGTTTTCACCCAAGAGTGAAAAAAAGGAAAATCTACCATGGCTTGACGTTAAAGAGCAGAACTCCTGACTACCATTCTATGACTGATCAAGAGACTAATAGTTTAAAACCTCAGCAGGCCTTGTTCACGATATGCAGAAAAAAAAAAGTGCTGCAGTTTAGATACCTCTGGAATTTTTCCACAGTGTCACAGGTTTGTAATACTTGAAGCCCTACATTTCTAAGAATATATTTCTTGCTCAGTTGTTTCAGGCAAGCCCAAGACTTTGTAATTTTTAAAGGGCCCAAGTTTTTCCCCCCCCAATAACAGACCAGCTTCTTTTTCCTGCAGTTACAGATGTAATTTCTTTTTTGTTGTCAAACATAAGGTACCAAATATGATGCAATAAATTGTTTTGAAAAACAGTTGTGTGAATATTTCCACTAATCTGTGTTGGGCTTCTGTGAAAGTACACAGGTGGAAACAGAGGTTCAAGCCAGAGGCAGAGTAATGTACTGCGAGGCCAGTACAAATGGGAGCTCTTTTGCTTTTCTTTTCTTTTTCTTTTTTCTTTTCTGTTTTTTTTTTTTTTT